GAAAAAAAACAATATTTTGACTTTTTGTTATTTAACATGTCCAGCAAAAATGTAAAAAATCAAAATTTCATAATAAAAGTAGGCCAAAATGTATTCTGCTAAAAAAAAAAAAAATAAATTTCAATACTTGTAAATTAATTGGTTTACGTGAAAGTTATAGCGTTTACAAATGGTAGTATACAGTATATATTGGGCTCTTTAAAAATTATTTTTTTATTTTTTAATATTTATGGCGGCAATCAGCGACTTATTGCGGGACTGCGGCGGGCAATCTGACCCTGGGGGCAACTGACTTGGTGTCGCTGACGTTCCCAGTGACGACAATACAGTGATCAGTGCTAGAATAAAAAGCACTGACACTGTACTAATGGTACTGGGCAGGAAGGGGTTAACATGAGGGGCGATCAAAGGGTTAACTGTGTGCTTCACTGTAAGCACACTGCTTTGTATGGCTGTGCTGTGCAGAGCCATGCAAAGCAGTGTGCAGCAGCTGACAGGAGAACTGTATTGTTTACAAACAGTTCTCTTTCCCATTGGAGATCCTTGGTAATCACCGGGTGGGACCGGGTGATTGATGGCCACGAAGGGCGACGCGGGTAGGGCACGCCCTTTACCCGGAACTGCAAAATCATGTATATGTACATGATTTTGCACACCCGTGCCGCCCTGTAGTAGTATTTCTGCTATAGGGCAGACGGGAAATGGTTAAATAAAAATACGTACTGTGCATATAAGGATGTGGTTGAGGCCTTTCTACTACGCGTTTTGCTCATTGCTTCCTCAGGAGTAGGGCGTATAAGATGGTATACAAGGGCTTCTTTCCAAAACGTTTTCCAGGGCATCAGCAGGGCAGGCTTCAGGGCATCAGCAGGGCAAGCTTCGGGGGCATCAGCGGGGCAAGCTTCGGGGTCATCAGCGGGGCAGGCTTCGGGGGCATCAGCGGGGCAAGCTTCGGGGGCATCAGCAGGGCAGGCTTCGGGGGCATCAGCAGGGCAGGCTTCGGGGGCATCAGCGGGGCAAGCTTCGGGGGCATCAGCGGGGCAGGCTTCAGGGGCATCAGCAGGGCAGGCTTCGGGGGCCTCAGCGGGGCAGGCTTCGGGGGCATCAGCGGGGCAGGCTTCGGGGGCATCAGCGGGGCAGGCTTCGGGGTCATCAGCGGGGCAGGCTTCGGGAGCATCAGCAGGGCAGGCTTCAGGGGCATCAGCAGAGCAGGCTTCAGGGGCCTCAGCAGGGCAGGCTTCTGGGGCCTCAGCAGGGCAGGCTTCAGGGGCATCAGCAGGGCAGGCTTCAGGGGCATCAGCAGGGCAGGCTCAGCAGGCTTTGGGGGCATCAGCAGGGCAGGCTTCAGGGTATCAGCAGAGCAGGCTTCAGGGGCACCGACAACAACCTACAACGATATGCATATATAGATAATGGTTTCAGCACTGTGGGGGGTGTAGTAGGTAAATGTCCCTTGTTTGCACCCATTATGAGTCTAAACCGGGTACTTACCTAAGTATTCCAGGTGGTGTGCTTGTCCCCAAGTAAGGAACTCCAGCCTCTCCAAATCTGACAGGCTGCAGGCCTGGATGAGACACCCGCAGTCAGGCACCAGAGCCCCATGCAGCGGGGCTAAAAGCCCATTTTGCATTGGGCCATACTCAAGACCCAGAGACTTGGCTCCTGCTGCAGCCTCTCACTTTGTGAGTTTGCTACATATAGTTACATAGTTAGTCTGGCTGAAAAAAGACAAAAGTTCATCCAGTTCAACCATAGAAAAAAAAAATAAAAGTTATCCTACACCCACAGTTGATCCAGAGGAAGGCAAAAAAACCCAGCAAAGCATGATCCAATTTGCTCCTGCAGGGAAGAAATTCCTTCCTGATCCCCCGAGAGGCAATCGGATATTCCTGGATCAACTTTCCCTATAAATGTTATATCCAGTTATATTCTGTGTATCCAAGAAAGAATCCAGGACTTTCCTACAGCAATCCACTGAGCTGGCCACAACCAACTCTTGAGGGAGTCTATTCCACATTCTCACAGCTCTTACTGTGAAGAAACCTTTCCGTGTTTGGAGATTACATTTCTTTTCCTCCAGACGTAAAGAGCGCCCCCTTGTCCTTTGTGTCCTACAAAGTTACAGTATTGGAGTCTGATCCATGGAGGTGAGGAGACTAAGGAAATGCTTACTGCTGCCTGCAGCCGACTGATGACATCATCCCGGCTAGAGTCATTGGACTGGAGTTCAGATATGGCTTTTTGATTTAAAAGAAAAAAAATGTAATGATGAACTTGCTGTATATTGTGACATCCGTAATCATTTCCATCAGATTTGTAAAGTTACAGAAAGGTTGGCTTGAAGCTGCACCTGTCCCGTGAGCGTTATGGAAGCCCTCCTTGGTGGCAGGTGAGTACGTCCGCTGTCATACCGACCCTCCGGGACCATCAGAGTCACCGACCCAGAACAGGCTGGCGGAAAAGGGCTTCTAGCTGTTGAGCTGCTTGCTTTTCTGGGCCTGTGATTCAAAATCAGAGGGATGGCAAAGCAGCCAGGGAGTTAGCATTTTTAGGGAAAGGTCGAGGATTGCAGGTTTTACCTTAACCGCTTTAGTACCGCCCTATAACAGATATACTGCTACAGGGCGGCACCTGTGCGCAGGATCACGTATATATACACGTCATTCTGTATTTCCACACGCGCCCTACCTTGTCCGCAATTCGCGGCCGTGAATGTCAATCACCAGGTCCCGGCTGGTAATTACCCGCCGGCGCCCAGTGATTACTGAGCATCCGACGGGGAGGAAGATTGTTTTGTTTACAAACAATCTTCCTCCCTGTCAGCTCGAGTGCACAGCACAGCCATCCAGAGCAGTGTGCTTACAGTGAAGCACCCCCCCCTAGTAAAACACTCCCAGCACACAGTTAACCCTTTGATCGCCCCTCACATTAACCCCTTCCTGCCCAGTGCCATTAGTACAGCGTCAGTGCTTATTATATTTTTAGCGCTGATCACCAAATTAGTCCCCCCTCCCCACCCCCCCTAGTATCAGAATGTCCACCGCAGTCCCGCTATAAGTCACTGATCGCCGCCATTACTAGTAGAAAAAAAAATCTGCCATTTGTAAATGCTCTAACTTTCACGTAAACCAATTCATTTACACGTATTGGGATTTTTTTTTTAGCGAAGACATGGACCAGAATACATTTTGGCCTAAATTTATGGCAAAATTAGATTTTTTTTTTTTTTTTTTACTGGACATGTTCAATAGCAAAAAGTCCAAAATACTGTTTTTTTTTTTTTTTCTCAAAATTGTCGGGCTTTTTTTTTTTTTTTTTTTTTTTTTGGCTTCTAGCGCAAAAAATGAAAACTGCACAAGTGATCAAATACCACCGAAAGCTCAATTCATAGGAAAAAAAGGACGTAAATTTAATTTGGGGTGCAGCGTTGCACGACCGCCGCGCAATTGTCAGTTAAAGTAATGCAGCGCCGTGATGCAAAACAAGGCCTGGTCATGAAATGGGGGGGGGGGGGGGGGGGGGGGTAATGTGGTTCTGAAGCTAAAATGTTTTACGGTAAAAAAAAAAAAAAAAAAAAAAAAAACCTTTTGCCACTTGCGGTAAATTCCATTCGCTGCGGTTTAATACAGAAGAAGGTGCCTACATGTGCAGCTTCCATCCTGAGGCCTATGTGAAAAAGATGAATCTGGAGCCCCCTCCTTTTATCCGGTGTCACTGAATATAATGGCCAAGGAAGCAGGTGTGTGTTTTCATATCCTCCTTGCACTCTGCGACTTGGCTGATGCATCCCTGCCCGCCATATCTGCTGAAAAAGCACACAGCATGCTGCTTTTCGGCTACAGCGACACCTAGGTTATGATGGCTCCTGTATTACCAGCATGCAAAGCCCCATTCAGTCTGCACTGTGTTCCGTGAGTAGCCCACGGGGAATCCCCTCACTTTATCAAGGGGGGATCATAGGTACAAAGGAGCTGAGACAAAAGGCCCAAATAACATGCGGCCTACAGGAAACTCAGAACACCGATCAGAGCGATAGCCGTTCCCTTGTCCCAGAGAAATACAGGCGTACCTCGGTTTCCGAATTTAATTCGTTCTCTGGGACTTTTTGTACTGCGAACAATTCGTAAACCAAAACGCGTTTTCCCGCAGGAAAGCACTGAAAACCAATTCATCCGTTCTGGAGGTCAGAAGAAAGTAAAAAAAAAAAAGTCTTATCTGTTCAAAACTCTATAAAGTGCACTTTATAGGAATAAATACTGTGCAGGGACATGATTAACAATTTATTCGTAAATGCATTGAAAACCAATTACCGTATTTTTCGCTCCATAAGACGCACTTTTTTTCCCCCAAAAAAAGGGGGGGAAATGTCAGTGGGTCTTATGGAGCGGCCCGGTCCGGATTTCGCAGCGTGTCAGTACCGGGCCGGCCGCGCTGTTTATAGAGATGACTGCTGACCCGGCTTGACTGTAGTGTGGGCGGTGCGCTCGGCATGACAGACCGGGTGCCCAGTGCGCATGCGCAAGAAGCGGTGCTTTTTGTGAATGGTAAGGCGGTACCTGGGACACATGACAGGTCTCAGCAGCCGCCGGACCAATCACAAAGCGCAGCGCTTCTCGCTCATGCGCACTGGGCACCCGGCTGTCATGCCGAGCGCCATTACAGAAGCCGGGAAGACAGCGCGCGGCTGGATAGAGGAACAGGTAAGATCAAAGAACAACTCCACGGAAGTAAGAGCGGGTACCTGTCAAATTCAGGTACCTGCTCCCCCCCCCCCCCTCCCCTCCCCAAAGGTCAGCAGTCATCTCCTGCACCGTGTCCGCAGTCTCCGGTCATCTCCTGCACCGAGTCCGCAGTCTCCGGTCATCCCCTGCACCCGTCCGGTCCGCAGGCTCCGGTCATCCCTGTGCTGTGTACTGTGCTGTCCGCAGTCTCCTGTCATCCCTGTACTGTGTCCGCAGTCTCTGGTCAACCCTGTGCGTGTCCGCAGTCTCTGGTCATTTCCTGTACTGTGTCCGCAGTCTCTGGTCATCTCCTGTACTGTGTCTGCAGTCTCTGGTCATCTCCTGTACTATGTCCGCAGTCTCTGGTCATCTCCTGTACTGTGTCCTGACCGTCCCAGTGTCCGCTCCCTGGTCATCTCCTGTGCCGTGTCCGCAGTCTCCTGGTCATCTCCTGTACTATGTCCGCAGTCTCTGGTCATCTCCTGTGCCGTGTCCGCAGTCTCTGGTCATCCCCTGTACCGTGTCCGCAGTCTCTGGTCATCTCCTGTACCGTGTCCGCAGTCTCTGGTCATCCCTGTGCTGTGTCCGCAGTCTCTGGTCATCCCTGTACTGTGTCCGCAGTCTCTGGTCATCCCCTGTGCTGTCCGCAGTCTCTGGTCATCTCCTGTACTGTGTCTGCAGTCTCTGGTCATCTCCTGTACTATGTCTGCAGTCCATTAGTTCAGAATTTTTTTTTTCCCCTGTTTTCTGCCTCTAAAACCTAGGTGCGTCTTATGGAGCGAAAAATACGGTAATCCGTTACGGAGGTCAGAAAATAGTAAGAAAAAAAAAAAGTCTTTTATCTGTTCAAAACTCTTTATAAAAGGCATAGTACTGTACAGGGATATGATTTTAAAAAAAAATTTGTAAATGCATTGGAAACCAATTAATCTGTTTGTATAAAATCATAAACCGAGGCGTTATTTTCAATGGATTTTCATTCGTTAACCGAGGTCCGCCTGTACCCTTCTGTGATGTCACTCCGGATCTGACTTCTAGTTCCCCTTCAGGTGTACACCATGCAGCCCATCCAGCGAAAGTAGATTTTTCTAACACTGTTTGTATTTTCTGGTAAACTTTTGGCACTTATAGAGTCTTCGGGTTCCAGAGACCAGAAACGCGACACTTCCTCTGTTAGATCTGATCCGGTTCAGGAATTACAGGTGGGATCTTCTAGTTTTACTTGATACTGATATGAAAGAATTCGTAGCGGAGATATTCCGGCGATATTCCTTCTGCATTTTGTGAGACGCAAGCTATGGCTTCATGCCAAATGCTCTCTATTTTGGTATGTCATCTAGTCTGCCCAGCAGCACCTGTATCTCCGTAGCTAAAATAAGTCCCTGGGGTTGATTTACTAAAGCTGGAAAGTGCAAAATCTGATGCAGCTCTGCAGAGAAACCAATCCGCTTCCAGGTTATAGTGCCAAAGCTTAGGAACAGGCACTGATACCAATGAGGGGGCACTATTCCTCCCACTGACACCAATGATGGGGCACTATTCCTCCCACTGATACCAATGATGGGACACTATTCCTCCCACTGATACCAATGAGGGGGCACTATTCCTCCCACTGATACCAATGAGGGGACACTATTCCTCCCACTGACACCAATGATGGGGCACTATTCCTCCCACTGATACCAATGATGGGACACTATTCCTCCCACTGATACCAATGAGGGGGCACTATTCCTCCCACTGACACCAATGATGGGGCACTATTCCTCCCCACTGATACCAATGATGGGACACTATTCCTCCCACTGACACCAATGATGGGGCACTATTCCTCCCACTGATACCAATGAGGGGGCACTATTCCTCCCACTGACACCAATGATGGGGCACTATTCCTCCCACTGACACCAATGATGGGGCACTATTCCTCACACTGATACCAATGATGGGACACTATTCCTCCCACTGATACCAATGAGGGGGCACTATTCCTCCCGCTGACACCAATGATGGGGCACTATTCCTCCCGCTGACGCCAATGATGGGGCACTATTCCTCCCGCTGACGCCAATGATGGGGCAACTATTCCTCCCGCTGACGCCAATGATGGGGCGCTATTCCTCCCGCTGACGCCAATGATGGGGCGCTGTTCCTCCCGCTGACGCCAATGATGGGGCGCTGTTCCGCTGACGCCAATGAGGGGGCGCTGTTCCTCCCGCTGACGCCAACGATGGGGCGCTGTTCCTCCCGCTGACGCCAACGATGGGGCGCTGTTCCTCCCCGCTGACGCCAACGATGGGGCGCTGTTCCCCCCCCCGCTGACGCCAACGATGGGGCGCTGTTCCCCCCGCTGACGCCAACGATGGGGCGCTGTTCCCCCCGCTGACGCCAACGATGGGGCGCTGTTCCCCCCGCTGACGCCAACGATGGGGCGCTGTTTCCCCCCCGCTGACGCCAACGATGGGGCTCTGTTCCCCCCAATGACGCCAACGATGGGGCGCTGTTCCTCCGACCGATACCAACGACGGGGCGCTATTCCTCCCACTGACACCAACGACAGGGTGCTATTCCTCCCACTGACACCAATTGATGGGACACTATTCCCCCCACTGATACCAATGATGGGGCGCTATTCCTCCCACTGACACCAATGATGGGGCACTATTCCTCCCACTGACACCAATGATGGGGCACTATTCCTCCCACTGACACCAATGATGGGGCATTATTCCTCCCACTGGCACCAATGATGGGACACTATTCCTCCCACTGACACCAATGATGGGGCGCTATTCCTCCCACTGACACCAATGATGGGGCGCTATTCCTCCCACTGGCACCAATGATGGGGCGCTATTCCTCCCACTGATACCAATGATGGGGCACTATTCCTCCCACTGACACCAATGATGGGACGCTATTCCCCCCACTGATACCAATGATGGGGCGCTATTCCTCCCACTGATACCAATGATGGGGCACTATTCCCCCACTGATACCAATGATGGGGCACTATTCCTCCCACTGACACCAAGGATGGGGCACTATTTCCTCCCACTGATACCAATGATGGGACACTATTCCTCCCACTGACACCAATGATGGGGCATTATTCCTCCCACTGGCACCAATGATGGGACACTATTCCTCCCACTGACACCAATGATGGGGCACTATTCCTCCCACTGACACCAATGATGGGGCATTATTCCTCCCACTGGCACCAATGATGGGACACTATTCCTCCCACTGACACCAATGATGGGGCGCTATTCCTCCCACTGACACCAATGATGGGGCGCTATTCCTCCCACTGGCACCAATGATGGGGCGCTATTCCTCCCACTGATACCAATGATGGGGCACTATTCCTCCCACTGGCACCAATGATTGGACACTATTCCTCCCACTGATACCAATGATGGGGCACTATTCCTCCCACTGACACCAATGATGGGACGCTATTCCCCCCACTGATACCAATGATGGGGCACTATTCCTCCCACTGATACCAATGATGGGGCACTATTCCTCCCACTGACACCAAGGATGGGGCACTATTCCTCCCACTGATACCAATGATGGGACACTATTCCCCCCACTGACACCAATGATGGGGCACTATTCCCCCCACTGATACCAATGATGGGCACTATTCCTCCCACTGACACCAAGGATGGGGCACTATTCCTCCCACTGATACCAATGATGGGGACACTATTCCCCCCACTGACACCAATGATGGGGCACTATTCCCCCCACTGACACCAATGATGGGGCACTATTCCCCCCACTGATACCAATGATGGGGCACTATTCCTCCCACTGACACCAATGATGGGGCACTATTCCTCCCACTGACACCAATGATGGGGCATTATTCCTCCCACTGATGTCAACAATAGGGCACTGTTTGCCTCAGTGAGACCAATGATGGGGCATTTTCTACTCACACTGACCACAGTCTGCCTCCTTCAGTAACCTGGTCCTTTGCTTGGAAGGTTTGGAGACCCCTGTTCTACAGAATGTAAATGCTAAAAGCTCGGTCTGTTGAACCTGTTTGTAAAAAGCATCTTCTGGTTTGTGTTTTGACATTTGACTATAATGGAAATCCATTGATAAATTATTCAAGGAAGTCACTGAGAAAAGTGTCCTCACCCCACAGGAAGCACCCCAATTCCTCTACTCCCACACCACTGCTTCCAGTCCTCTCCAAGGGGTTTGCTATGGGGGAACGAGGCAGAAGGGAGGGACAAGGAGGGCAGGCAAGTGACCCGAGAAGAGGAGGATCGGGCCGCCGCTCTGTGCAAAACCATTACAGACAGAAAGGAAGTATAACATGTTTGGCTTTTTTTTTTTAATTACCTGTAACCAGTTCCTGACCACACTACAGGCAAAAGACAGCGACAGCGAGGTCGGCTAGTTCTGAGAGGGTGTCCATGGACGTCCTCCCAGAACCACGCCCCCCCCCCCCCCCTCCAGGGGGCGCCCGCAACGGGCGCGATCTTTGATCGCTGTGCTGTTCAGCCACAGCTGCTCATATGTCCAGGAAAAGGGCCAATCGAGAGCAGCCTTTTACCATGTGGTCAGCTGTGCCCAATCACAGCCGATCAGTGTAAATCAGAAATGCTGGATATCGGCAGTCCTCTCCTCCCGCTCACAGCACATGAGGAGAGGAGAGCTGGGAAGCGGCATTTCTCAGAGGGGACAAATACACTGATCATCAGGGCACTAATTATCAGTGTAGCCCCATCCCATCAGTGCTTTGTATGGGCCCATCAGTGCCCATCAGTGCATGCTGCTCAGTGCCCATCAGTGATGGCATCAGTGACCATCACAGGCTATCAGTGCCCATCAGTGATGGCTATCAGTACCCATCAGTGACCATCAGTGCCCATCAGTGCTCGTGGTCAGTGCCCATCAGTGCTGGCTATCAGTACCCATCAGTGCTAGTGGTCAGTGCCCATCAGTGCTTTGTATGGGTGCCCATCAGTGCTGGCTATCAGTGCCCATCAGTGCTAGTGGTCAGTGCCCATCAGTGCTGGCTATTGTCAGTGCTAGTGGTCAGTGCCCATCAGGTGCCCATCAGTGGCTATGCCCATCAGTGCTCACTGCCCATCAGTGCTAGTGGTCAGTGGCCCATCAGTGCCCATCAGTGCTAGTATCAGTGCCCATCAGTGATGGCTATCAGTGCCCCATCAGTGGTCAGTGCCCATCAGTGCTTTGTATGGGTGCCCATCAGTGCTGGCTATCAGTGCCCATCAGTGATGGCTATCAGTGCCAACATTGGAGAAGTCTCATCAGTGCCTGCATCAATATCCATCATTGCTGACTATCAGTGCTATGGCTATCAGTGCCCATCAGTGCTATCAGTGCCACATATTGGAGAAGTCAGTGCCTCATCAATATCATTGCTGTGCCCATCAGTGCTGCTGTCAGTGCTGCCTGACTATCAGTGCCCATCAGTGCTGGCTGTCAGTGCCCCATCAGTGGCTGGTTGTCAGTGCCCCATCAGTGCCCATCAGTGCCGCATCATCAGTGAAGGAGAAAAATCACCTATTTACAAAACTTTATAACAGAAACTAAACAAAATGTGTTTTTTTTCAAAATGTTTGGTCTTTCATCGTTTGTTTAACAAAAATTGGCCCCCCCCCCCCCCCCCCCCCCCCCAGTGCTGATTAAATACCAACAAAAGAAATCTCTGTTTGTCTAAA